AACCATAAGAAAAGATTTTGATTAGAAGTTGAATTTTTACGGTTTCTCTTTCACTTTTTACATTCAGTTCATTTTATTTGCCAGAAAGGAAGCCTTAGAAATTAAAATGACGTTTGATCAATTCACACACGCGCATTCTAGTCTTATTTTAAACTTTATAGCGGAAGGACATCTGTGAGCGGGGAATAAGTCAGTACAGAATTTGATTGTCGGCGAATTTCTGTAATCGTCCTTCGTTCTGCTAGTGATAAGCTAGCCGTTGTTCACTCGTCTTGCTTGTTTGTCGCCTGCGCCCCAGACGCTCTAAACCTTCTGTATATACAAATGGTTTAGACGAGTGCGTGGGCCGGCTGCAACGCAGGCTAGCTTGTTTGGGGATGAGTCGTACTCCGGTCAAAGAGAGAGAAAGAGTGTCTGGCAAGGTTTAAAAGAGTTGTGAACTCGTGTCTGGCAAACTCCCCAAGTGTTTATATATACACCGTTATACGCACCTTATAACTTCTTCTGCGCTTAACGAGTGTCGTTAAAATTTTGGTCCATAACTTTCAATGAAACAACTGTTCCACGAAGTATGACTGCACAACAAATGTCACAAAATCTACCTAAGCGGTCCCCTGGGGATGTTCTGTCCTTACGTCATCCTAACCATTTCGTACTTGAGGGCGCAAACAATAGAAACGTCATCATTACCTACCGATTCCTCGCGGCCCCTGTTCAAGCAAATCGAGATTTTTTCTATATTAACTGTATGACTGTATATTTCAACTGTAAGTACTTTCCCTAATATACGCGCGAGTTACAAGAGTGCCTCCTCGGGATTTTGCCTTCTGGGCAAAATCCCGGCGGGGGAAATTATATAAGGTAGAAAATGACCTGAGGGGAAACGAAAATTGGTTCGAGTCAGTGGGAGTTCTAGTTATCGAGGGTTCGAGTTACCGAGGGTAAAATTACAGTGAATGTATGAGGGAAATCCACGGAAAATCGATTTTGGTTCGAGTTATCGGGAGTCGACTGTAATAATTTCGAAACCCTAAGACAGATTTTTCTCTAACCTTGGCAAATAAGCCTCAGAGCTCTCTAGTTTTGTATCTGCAAGTTTGAATTCAATCTTGACTGCATTCGCATTATCTTAAAGTTCGACCATTCTTCATTAAGGATGCCAAAAATCATAGAGGTCGGTTAAATCTTTTCTGCCGAAAAACCCGATTCAGAAAACATAACCAACGCCTAAATAAATAGGTTCGGGCTACCTTAATGTAGTAAAAACCGTCATGTTTTAAATCCCTGCTGGAATACTCTCACCCCGCAAATTCTGAAATATGCGATCCCATAGTCCCCATTCTGTCAACTCTATTGAAAATGCAACCCCATTATGAACAAGAAGACAAGAAGAGATATTTCACTCAGCTCTGTTTACATGTGACCAGTGCACAGATTGAAAAAAAGACAAATAAATTAGTAACGAATAAAAATTGTAGTTTTAAAATAAGGAGCGTGTTGGGATCATCCAAATAGCAAAGGTTAATTTAATGGATGACCCCATCCAGCGGAACATCCACAACAACATAGAAAGTACTATCCACCCGGACAAGTTACATCTTTCTAGAACTAGTTACGCAATGTATCTATACTAGGGAATTGGCTTCTTTGAGACCGCATCTTCTAAGTTCAGAGAAAAGAAAACTGAGGAATCGTCATTTTGTGTTCATACTAGCCAACATACAACTTGAAATTATGGCTAGAAATTATAGAACAATTTCATAGTAGCACTGCGATGACGGTAAAGAACCAACCAAGTGTGATGAGGTTGTGATGCACGTGCAGTTTTTGCAGCTCCTGTTATGCAGGCTAGACCGCCGCTATCGTTTCCGTCGTGGTCGTTGTTGCTTAGGCTCCTTTATGTTATGCGGATATGAAAAAGGACGGCTTATGAATCCATGAAAAATGTTTTTCGCCTTTGTCATGCAAAAATCATCAAGTGTGAGAATATTCAGTTATCTCTACCCCACCCTAAAGCTTTTCCGGGCAGAGCCTTGATATATTTTGAGGTCCTCTAAACTAAAAACGGCTGTGTAGCAGACTACTGATACACTTTTATAAGATCCTTCATCTGAAAGAGGTCAAAAGCTAAACTTAATTCCTTTAAGCCGTGATCAATTTTAAGCCAATTTTGAGATGACTTTTTTTATCGCCCTGGGATATTAAAATCATGTCTGAAGTCAGTGTTGCGCACTGTACATGAGCAAGTTGCAATCTCTGAACAATGGCGGCTTGTACTGGCGTTGTTGTCGCCATTGTTCTTTGTATGTAGCAGGGATTTGACGGTTTTGCGGCCGGAAGTGATCTAAGTGAAAACCGACAAAGATTAAATCTCGGAGCGAAAGCATGCTGGCATTACAATATCTCTGGAGAATGAGATTGAACGAAGTGCTGTGATCAACAGCAGCAGTCTGGATAATACAACTTCTCAGTTCCATCGGTCAACACTCGCTTGTTGGATACACAGAAGACAAAATATTTGTGTACAAGGCTTACTGCGGCAGACAAGGTGAGAGGCCATACGATTGATGAGTAAGGATTTGTTTTAGGGTTTAAAACTGTCATGATCACTAACTGATCAACACTCGATCTTACTCTTCAATAATAATTTGCTGCTGATAAAAGTTAGTATCGTTCGGGCGGAAATAATGGAATTTTTCTACCGACAATAGGAATACACTATAAACAAATTGAATTTAGAGTTCGATACTGTTCAATAGAGTAATTTGATCTTTAGTAAAGAGCGAATTGGAATGATATAGTAACACATGACTGGGGATATTTCTGAGCATTTTTTTGGTAAAACAATTATTGACAGAAATGCAAAGAATCCAAGACTTCAATCAGTGCTAGCACACAGGAAACGTCCTTTGAACGTATTCACGTGTTGCACTCTATTAATCACTATTATACAGTTCATTTATCCTTTTCCTACGGCAATGCAAGGAGAGAAGGGTAGAGTGATTTTTTTTTAGTTTGGTTCGAAAAAGGTATCCCAAAGGGTGTTTTAAAAAGAGTATGCAAAATCATGTATTTTTGGTTTGTTTAAACAGTAAGTTCAGTTTCTGCAGATATGTATGTACTCGACGTATGCCCGGTGATTTGTGTTTTTCGTGGAGTATTGACTGTTATGTTCTGTACAAAAAAGTGGTGGGAAGATCCCATCCCACCCCTTCCCTAGTACTCTGCTATAAAATGTTTTCGGTTTGGGCACCGCCTGTGAACGACTATTGTGTCGGGTGTGAAATTATAAAAATAACAATACGGCTCGTAATATTTTCATTATAAACGTAAACCGAGTTTGGAACTCACTAGATTTTTGCTCCTTAAACTTTCTTTTGGCTTATTGGAAAAATGCAATGAAATAGCTAATCTGGAGTGTGCGACTCCAACTAGTGACCGCCTTGCTGGCGCAAAAACTAACAGGAAACCCCTAAAAATAGCAGTACGAAACCGCAAAAATGCGCTTAGACATGATAGCTTGTTCCTTAGCTGCGAACAGGCTTCCGATACGATGAAAACACAGCGAACGGTCTCTTCAATCTTATCCTCAACTAGAGAGCCTAGAGCCCTCAGGCTCGGATGTGTTCTTTCTCAATGGATATATGTCAGTTCACTCCGAGCTCTTATAGAAAACTTTGCACCCTGAGCGATGTTCTTTACCATCCAACCCTTGTTCCATCCCCATGTTTCTAGCATGAACTCATAGGATTAAGTTGACCCCAACCTAAAAAAAGTGCTCAGTTTCTAGAACTTGCAGCGTTTAAACACTGCCACCCATGTGTCAAGAAAATTAATGGCCAAAAAAATCCCAAGTGTTTGGGCAATTATGCTGTTAAGAAAGCCGTTTCATATTGAACTTTTTTTGTTTTGGTATGAGGAAATCCGGTTAATGATCCTAAGTTGGATAAGCAGTCTCATTCTCAGCAAATACTATGGTGTTAGTATTTTGTTCTAATAACGTCTTTTTGAGGCACGAAACCCCACCTTTTTTTGTTAAAGCTCTCTTTGTTGAAACTGAAAACAAAACTCGTCAAGAACCCTCCCATCAATTTTTCTTAAAAACTATTTATCCCTCCTCGATCCCCTATCGTGGTTGTATCTCAGCACTCGTATTTCAGTATTCGCACGTACACATGGCATATACGAGTTTTTGTTTTACAGCGCCCACGCAGGGAGAGGGACTGAGGGGACAGGGCCTCCCACGTTTTGAAAAATAAATACCGTATTTATTCGATTAACCGCCCTGGGCGCTTATTAAATTTTTGGACCTTGAGAGTGGGCGCTTATTCGAAGTGGGCGCTTATTCGAGGCTGGGCGCTTATTAAATTTTCAGCATTTTCAGCAAGTCTAGTATGTTTATTTTGCAACAAAACAATAAATGGTAATGACAAAACGCGAAGATGTAACAAAGCTTCCTGTTTTTTAAAAAAAAATAAATTCACTTTTTGGGGGTGGGGTGGGATAAAATTAAGGGGTGGGCGCTAACATACCGAGTTCATATTCGAAATTTGAGGTTGGGCATTCTAAATACGGTAAATGAATAAAATTAAGTAACATACCGAGTTCATATAAAAAGCATCTGAAGTATCTTTGCTGGAATAAGGATATTCGTCTGCGGACCTATCAAAAGCATCTAAATTTATTATTGGTAGATTTTGATCCTTTATCTGATTTGAAGTAAGTGGAGAGCCTCAAAACGTATATCGGCCCCCGCGCTTTAAAAACTGCTCCCGGGCTCTGTTTTAGTTGTATCACTCTATTTACCACAACATGGTTGGCTTTCCGTGTGCTGTCTCGTTTTACGTTTTCAGCGTGAATTAGCCAAAGTTTGGAACTAAACTCTAAACTAAGATGTTACGGAGCTTACACAACTAAGACGGAAAATACAACTACGACATATCCAAATATCCACGTGTAAGAAACTCCTCCGAATTTTTTTTCTCAGAGCAAAACAAGAAATGGCCACAACATGGCTGATTTTTTGCCTTGGGATAGTTTACAGCGTCCAACGGGCTCAGTCCTCTGGTATCCTCCCGGTCAAAGCAACACACCACAACAACTCAGCCTTACATCAAGTACTGGAAGCATTAGCAGCCACTTATCCCAACATAACAAGGCTGTATTCCATTGGAAAGTCCTATCAGGGAAAGGAATTATGGGTACTGGAGATCACGAAAAACCCCGGTAGGCATATACCTGGCAAGCCCGAGTTCAAGTATGTGGCAAACATGCACGGGAATGAGGTTGTGGGAAGAGAACTGCTTCTTCTGTTTGCTGATTATTTGTGTTCCAATTATGGAAACAATGATCGAGTAACAAGGCTTGTGGATACAACCAGAATTCACCTGCTGCCATCGATGAATCCTGATGGCTGGGAAAGCTCCAACGAAGGCGACTGCAGTAGTGTCAGGGGACGGTTTAACGCAAATGGCGTGGATTTAAACCGGAACTTTCCTGATCCATATGACGGACAGAGGAATGAGTTACAACCTGAAACCCAGGCAGTTATGAACTGGATTCACCAGGAACCGTTTGTCCTGTCAGCCAACTTACATGGAGGGACGCTGGTAGTTAATTATCCTTTTGATAACCTCCCAAAGGAGCTGAAGAGGTCTGGGTCAAGAGTTTATTACAGTTCACCAGATGACGACATTTTTGTTTCTATAGCAAAAGTGTATTCAAAGACGCATCCGACAATGCACATTGGGCACCCGAAATGTCCAATCCAGAGAAATGAGAGGTTCGCGGACGGAATTACAAACGGAGCAGCCTGGTATCCAATATCCGGGGGAATGCAGGACTACAATTATTACAAAACGTACGGTATTTATCCTGGTCACATTTCTTTTTCTTTTTAAACACTAAGTAAGTAATCAGGGGCGTAGCCAGGATATTTCCAGAGGTACAATGTACGCACGCAGAATTTGGCCTGCGTAGCTGGCGGGATAGCGGCCAAGAAAGTAGGCTAGCAGAATTTCCAAATCCACCCTGGCTCAGGGGTGCCTGGGTTTGTTGCGAAAAGAAATAGCAAATCTGAAAAAATTGATTTTTTTTAGTGTTATTATATTCTAAGGTGTCAATAAACCGAACATTATTGTTGTTATCTTTTTTAGGAAAGACAGAGTTGAGCCCTAATTTGCTTATTTACGTCATCATTTTCATTCCTGTCATGTAAAATGAAATCATTATTTGTTATTCTCTGCCCCTCCCCAGCCGGCAATAGTACTAAAATCAGCCACTATCAATATCCGGGATTATTCAGCCACATTGTTCTCGACTGCTGGAATCCCGACATCTGCATGCAGAATGATAATTATTACAGTTGCCAATACAAATATTAAATAAAATTTGGAGGGTTTTTTGCGCAAGGCAGGAAATGACGGTTGCAAGAAGTCTCATTTTTAACAAATTCCCGAGTGGCTTCCCCTAGACGCCCTTAAAAGTTCCTTCCTCCGATCCGGCACTCATGTGGTCATATCGGTTACCTTTTGGGGACTGTAAAGGCGGGGGTGTCAGTAGCATTTTTCTTAGCGGCCCCTACCCAATAAAACGCGCAATATTCATTAGGAATTTAGGTTTGATAGAAAGAATTCACATTTAAAATCTCCGTCCCCGACCCCGCCAAAAAAATACAAAACCAAAAGTCCTAAAGACTGAGTGTTAAACTGGAGATTTTCTGGATTAGACGGATATGGAAAAATAGCTGCTTAGTCATTTCCGATATTCTGCAAATTAATGATCTTCTCAGACTTTCCTTATCTTCATCCAGGAACTGTTTTGAAATCACCTTGGAACTTGGTTGCTGTAAGTACCCTCCAGCACTGTACATCAAGCCCTACTGGTATGCCAATCGCGAACCTTTGCTCAAGTACGTTGAACTTGTTCACACCACAGGCATGAAGGGCTTTGTAATGGATGAGAGGGGCCGTCCACTAGAGGGGGCCAGAATCATAATTGAAAATCGCGCCAAGAAGATCAAAACGTCCAAGGATGGAGATTTCTGGCGTCTGTTAGTTCCGGGTAATTACACAGTACGAGTGGCCAAAAGAAAGTACAAGAACACAAAGCTTAGAGTAACCGTTAACCCAGATCAAGCAACAGTGGTTAATATCACACTCGTGAGTAAAAGTTCAAGAAATCTTAACAGGCGCAGACCGGTAAAAACAGTTAGTCCAGTTCAGGTTTTTATCGACAAAGATGAACGTAACGTATCATTTCATTCTGCCTTAGCGCACAGGGATAGATTACGCCTGTCAGCAAAAGCTCCAAAGAAATCTGCCTCTCTTAAGATAACTCCTGTAGCCCATACTTTCTTAATTTCCCTTTTAGTACTATTTTTTCAAATGATGTTTATTGACAATTAAATTGACGAAGAAGAGAATCTAGGATTCTTGACAGGGAGTGGAGCTAAGGGGTAGGGTGCGGTGGGTGCAATATCACGTATACCTAACCACACTACAAAATAGGACCAAAATTGGACATGATCACTAATGATTTTTCACTGAAACATCTTTCATGTGCGCTTAATGTTATTTCCTGATTTTAGTATTCTGATCGTTTGTTCGATCAACCTTCGCCCCCTTGGTTTTAGGACCGTTGTTGTTGATTGTGTTTTTAATACTTTACTTTTATAACTTTTAACACTTACTTGTTCACTTTGGGCGAAACAAATAAGAAATAACCAGAGGTCGTTTATTGACATCATTGTGACCTATTTTTCGTCTACCTTACGTCAATTTTCTGAGTACGTTTCTCCTTTTTCCTCTCTAATTTCAAACAAAATTTAGCTTTTCGGGGAGGTTCATCCATTTATTTTTTGGTTCGCTCAACCAGAAAGCTGCTGTCTCTTTTTTTTGTCATAGCATTTTTCTTGTTCTAAGGAAGACATAATCTCGTTTTTGCTGCGAGGTGCATTTTATACATGCATGAACAAATTATTACGTTTTTCGTTTTAACTAAACGCACAGGAGACTTAATTGCCATTTGAATTAATGCGTTATTACTTTACTTTTCTGATGTCAGACAGTTTCAAAGCAGATTTTGTTTTTGTTGTTGTTGTTCTTAACGAGTATTTTATTAGAATTCAAAGAGTCCCTTCTTTGAATTTGTTTTCCACTACTCAAATTGATTTAATTTTGAGGGGATAAGGTTACCACTATTCCAGATAACTGGCTATTGAGGTAATGGATTGATTAAAAGTGTGAGTATTTTGAACTTTACCAGTCTGACTGTTTTTATTCTTCAACAACGTTGTTAGCGTCAGCGATCTTGCTGCAACACACGTGTCGTGTTTGGATTTTAAAATGATCTTCGATCTATCTTAAAGTTTGTCTACATTTAATTCTTTGCGACATTTAAATACGACATAAAGCCCCGTGCAAACGGACGCAACATTGCTGGGCAACAACTCCCAACATTGTTGGATGTTACATGTTGCGTCCGTTTGCACACCCTGTTGCATGTTGTTGGATGTTGTTGCGTGTTGTTGCGCAAAGTTTGAGGCTGCGTGCAAACGAACGCAGCAACTCCCAACATTGTTGGCGCATGTATGACATGGCAGCGTAAAACCTTTTGGCAACAATGTTGGGAGTTGCTGGGTGCGTGTTGGCAGTGGTGAGCAAACGGATGCAACAACTCCCAACAATGTTGGGACCTGCAGTGCATCGTGGGAAGGATACAACCCATAAGTCTTTGTAAACCATGCGTAATGAGCGTGCGTGGCCCCAACAGTGTTGGAAGAGCTGTGCAAACGGATCCAACATTGTTGCGCTACCCTTCGGCGATCACGGAACAAAAGAAATGTTGGGAGTTGTTGGCTGAAAAGTTTGACCGCTTTCAAACTTTGCGCAACAACACGCAACAGGGTGTGCAAACGGACGTAACATGTAACATCCAACAATATTGGGAGTTGTTGGCCAACAATGTTGCGTCCGTTTGCACGGGGCTTGAAACCGGTCAAACTTTACAGCCAACAACTCCCAACATTTCTTTTGTTCCGTGATCGCCGAAGCGTAGTAATGTTGGATCCGTTTGCACAGCTTTCCAACATTGTTGGGGCCACGCAAGCTCATTACGCATGGTTTACAAAGACTTATGGGTTGTATCCTTCCCACGATGTTCTGCAGGTCCCAACATTGTTGGGAGTTGTTGCATCCGTTTGCAGACCACTGCCAACACGCACGCAACAACTCCCAACATTGTTGGTGCAACAATGTTGAGAGTTGTTGCGTTCGTTTGCACTCAGCCTAACGATTGTCTTCTCCTCGTCAAGACCCTTACTGAAACAAACTTTCTGTTAACTTTTTTTTCGCATTCCAGAAATAAACGTTTGTCCCCTGGGTATCAGAAAATGGTCTCTAAAACTAGTTCATTCTACATAGTCCGCGAAGGGGTAAAGGTTTGTTACCTTTCTTGTTCCTAGCTGCTCCTCTTTGCTCTCACTCGCCGCACAATATGTCATGGGAAGCATTAGTGCACTGTTCCCTGTGACACTCTTATCGACCCTTAGCTTTTATGGCGCCTACAATGATCGACAGAAGGAAATCTTTAACAATACGGTATTCGCGAGTAATCGTCCTCTTTAAGAAGGCTTCACGATATCATGAAAGCAATAAGGAGGATTTGTTTGTTCACTAAGATCATTTCCGCTTTTCTCGTGACATCTATATATGTAGACTTCTATGTATATAGCTGTGATATTGTAAGGAGAAATAAGATTCCAATACTGCCAATGATATGAAGTTCAAACTATAATAAACATCCAAGCTCCATAGACGACAGAATTAACATTTATTTCCCTGTTGTATACAAGTGTTTGCTAGTAGTTATTTATTCTTCCTCCTTGAATTCTTTTTTCTGACTGCATTTGGATTCTTGCTGTTGTGTGCACTCTTCAAATGATATCCCAGCTGAGAGGCGCGGCTTGTCACGTCTTTAGCAGCAAACGGTGAAGCTCGTGCGACATAGTCAGCATCAAATACATTCACATCATCTCTTTTTCGAGGTAGACGGTGCTGACCGCGCGGTTGATCTTCAGTGAGGATAGGGACATCACTATGGCGACCGCCTTTAGGCAAAGGAAGAGGAAACTAGACAGAGAACGAAGGACAAAAAAGAAGAAAAATAATTAAGGATAAAATAACTTTGAAAAAACACTTATATCAGCATTTACTTTTCGGCAAGTTTCTCCCGGAAAGCCGTGACATCATACTGAATGCTCAGAGAAAATCGGTTAAAGAAGAAACCCTACAATTTTGATACACTACAGAGACGGAAAATACGGGCAACTGATGATCCTCGCAGCGATTAGACAAAGGCGATTCCAGAGACACAATAACAGTAGGTTACACTAAGAACACTAAGCACCAAAATGCCTGTTTTGGAGGCTACAAAAAGCACTTTATTAAAAAGTCAATGCATTCAGCCCAAATGTTCTAACTATTAAGTAAACTAATTTTTAAGTCTCTGCCATTCTACCTGGTCATTCGAGGCACGTGAAGGTACATTTGAAGCCCACTGCTTTATAGTAAAGTGCTCTACCGACTGAGCTGCTATTAACTAGTGTAGTGAAATAGTTTTAAAAGAGCCACACATTTAGGCTAGGAAGAACGCAAATGGTTCATATGGAGAGCCAAGGAGAGAGACACTGATATGTTACAAAACTATCTGCTTTAACATAAAAATAAGTCAGCAACACCGTTCACTTTGCATTAGCCTGCGAACTGCAGACGTTTCTCCTCGCTCATCGCCGCTGAGGGGCGTTTCTCAGTCTCCTCTACTGTGCTAATGGTTGGCAAAACGTCTGCCGTTCCCAGGCTAAAAAAAAAGTATGACTTGCAGGGTTGTCAAAATGATTTGAAGTAGCCGGAGAATTAAAGTGAGTAGGCGGCACTGGAGTCCGGCCCCCCAGGAGGCGAGGGGTCTGGGGGCCGCCTAGGCCCCCAGCGGGGTACAGGGGCAGCGCCCCATTAAGCAAAACGGATTTGAGGTTTTCGCGCTAGCTGAAATTGGCTCTCCTGAGAGAAATGCTAACAATCCTGAGTATCTGTTTTTGAATGAACATCATCAATTAGTTTTTTTTTATTCCTTATTTCATTATTCTCTTAGATGCCATATCCTAGTACATGTTAGGTCGATATTTTTTTGTTTACAATAATGATGTTTACCATTTCTCAGTAAGATTTTTTTTAA